AAAAAAAAAAAAAAAAAAAAAAAAATGTAATGAACAATATATAATAATTTTTAACATAGTATATGATTATATATGTTTTTGAAAATTTTTTGATGTTTTGTAAAAATTTTGTAAAATAAATTTTTGTTTGTTTTTTCATTTTATTTTTTTTTTTTTTTCCTATTTTATATATATTTTTTTTTATCTTTTCATTTTTCTGCTGATCTATATAATGATTATTTACATTTTAATCTAAAAATTTTATATTACATTTTAGTTAATTATACATAGGTTTTATATAATATTATTATTTTTTTTTAAGATTTATAATTTATTAATACCATAATTAATTTCTACTAATTTAATACTAAAGTGAAAATATAAATATAGAAAAAAAATATATATATATATATATTGAATAAATATATAATATATATGTTGTAATTATAATTAATAAAATATAGTTAAAAATTACATAATGTAATGAAAAATAAAAGAAAAAAAAAATAGCATAATTTTAGTAAATTAAATATATATATATATATTTTTATATATTTAATAATATTGATAACCATATATGAATTAAAAGAATATTATTTTAATAAAATATAATAATAAATAGTTTTCTTTATTATTTTTAAAAATATAGAAATAGATTATTAGATAAAAAAAAAAAATTAAGTTTAGGTTATAAAAAAAAATAAAATAGTAATCTTATAGAAACAAAAAAAAATTTATTGTTATTTGGGTAATGTTTTCATTTTCTAAATGAATATTTAAAAAAATACATAGAAAAATTAAAGAAGAATTAAGTAACATTTGTTACATAAAATATTTTAATATATACATAAGTTTTCATATAGTATTAATATATAAATTAAAAGATGTATTAAGTAACATGTTAAATACAACAACAGATTTGAACGATTTATGTTTAAATGGTTCTAATAGTACAGAAAAGAAATATAAAGAAAGAAGTAGTATAGAGTCATATAAAAATAATATAGATAGATATCCAATTAATAATTTGAATGAAAATATGAAAGCTGATAATTCATTAGAAGAAAAAAATTCATCAAAAATTTTACATGAACATCTAAATGGGATGAACAAAGAAGTAAATGCTAACTACCAAAAAGAATATATTAATGTAAATAATAATAGTGATGATATAAATAATAAGTGTATTATTAGGGATCTAAATAGTATAAATATTAATGGAAATTTAAATGAAAATATAAATGAAAATAGTACTGAAAATATAAGTGAAGATTCAATTAAAAGTGAACATAAAAATACAAATGCGAACATAAATAAGAATGAAGATACAAATAAATGTGAGAATGCAAATACAAATAAAAACGTAAATTTAATTGAAGTTGCAAATGAAAATGATGATAAATATGTAAATATAAGTGAAAATTCAAAAATAAATGAAAGTGCAGATAATGTAAATATAAGTGAAAATGCAAAAACAAACGAAAATGAAGATAATTATAATTTAACTAATTATGTTGATACAGATGAGATATACATAAATAACAATATACAACAGAATAACATGGAAAAAATAAATTATTCAGAAAAATTATCTAATAATTATTCATTAGAAAAAAATGAAAAAAAAAATGACCTTTTATTAGTAAATTCAACTAATAAAGAAAAAGAGGATATATGTTCTTATGAAGAAAAATTGAGTATTTCTTGTAGATTTTTTATTAATACTTCAAACCCATATGATTCAGATATTAGAATAATAAAAGAAAATTGCTTAACTATATTTCAATTATTATATACAGAAAAAAAAAAATGGTGTTCCTTCTATATATGTACTCATAATGGTCCAATGTCAAATTTTAATTATCATTTATATAAAATTTTATGTAGTAAAGATGATATATATATGTACTTTTTTTTATTCAAAAAGTTTATATTTTCATGCTACATATATTTCAATTTGGTAAGTATTAAAATATTTTCTACTTCTATAAATAAAGAGGAAAAAAAATTTAATGATTTTACAAAAATTCCTAATAAGAAAAGTTTTATAAATTGTGAAAAAAATTACAAGAATGAAGAAAGTAATTTACATATAAATAAGGATGACCATATTCATATGAAGAATGAGGAATTAAAAAAAACGAAGCAAACTGAAGTAAAAGAACCTTTATCCTCCAATGAAAATAATTTAAATTTCGAAAACAGAAAGGAGTTAAGTAGCATATATAATAATAATAATAATAATGATACTACTACTACTACTAATAATAATAATGATAATAATACTACTACTACTAATAATAATAATGATAATACTACTACTAATAATAATAATGATAATAATAATACTGCTACAACTAATAATGATAATAATAATAGTGATAATAATAATAATGATAATAATTATAGTGATAATAATAATAGTGATAATAATAATAATAATGATAATAATTATAGTGATAATAATAATTATAATAATGATAATGATAATGATAATACTACTACTAATAATAATAATGATAATATTAATAATGATAATAATAATAATATTAATAATGATAATAATAATAGTGATAATAATAACAATACTGCTACTAATAATAACCATAATAATAATAATATTAATAATGATAATAATACTGCTACTAATAATAATGATGATAATAATAATAATATTAATAATGATAATAATACTGCTACTAATAATAATGATAATAATAATAGTGATAATAATAATAATATTAATAATGATAATAATATTAATAATGATAATAATATTAATAATGATAATAATAATATTAATAATGATAATAATAACAACTATAATAATAATACTACTAATAATAATAATGATAATAATAATAATAATATTAATAATGATAATAATAATAGTGATAATAATAATAATATTAATAATGATAATAATAGTGATAATAATAATAATAATATTAATAGTGATAATAATACTGCAACTAATAATAATGATAATAATAATAATAATAATAATGAAGAATTTCAAATTTTAAATTTTTTATATGATCCATGTAAGCATTTATATGGAAATAAACTTAATATTTGTTCAAGTTATTTAAATTTTTTTGATATGAACCAATCAGATATAAAAAAAAAATTACAATTATTTATTAATACTCACTCACCAACTATGATAAATATTACAAAAAAATGGAATTCTTTTTATTTAAATAAAAGTAAGATTTGCTCTTTTGTAGAAAAATATAAGGATATAAAATTTTCTTCATTTGATAATTTTAAAAAAGATAGCACAGAGAAATTTATTAACTCATTTGTTGAAACTTTTTCTTTTATAAAAAATTTTAAAAATAAACAAACTAAAGAAAAAAATGAAAAAGAAAAAGAGAATGAGGAGCAATATTCAGAAAATAAAAATATTTTAATTAAAGATGAAAAAAAAAATAATATTACTTCAAATTATAAGGATGAAAAGAGTTATGACAAAAATCTTGTTTTAAATGAAAGCACGGAAAATGAAAATATAACATTAAATAATATAATTGATGAAAACATCATAATAGAATCACAAGATAGTAATGTGCAACTTGTAAGTTATAATGTAACTAATTTTCACGAAATCTCCAATAATGTGGATAATTTGATAATTAATGAAAATAAAACAATTGAGAACAAAGATGGAGATGAAAATCAAAATTTAAGTATGAAAGATGAGATTCAAGATAATACATTTAATAAAAGCAGTAATGAAAAAATTGAATCCTCTGAAAATAACACCAATAAAGATGATTACAGCAATAAGATTAAAAGTTCAAATAATAATAATAAAAACAAAATGGACGTAAATAACAGTATTAAAAATAAAGAAGATTTGAGTAATAGTAAAAATCACAACATTATAAATAACAATGTTACAAATAATAATAATAACAATAACATTGATGACTTAGTTAACAATAAAATTAATATTGAAAATGTGAATGAAAATAATTATAATGGTAGCAACATAAATGATGATAAGAACGATGATAACATAATTAAAATTAGTAATAATAATAGTAACCATAATGAAAGCGTTAGCAATAATAATATTGATAGAATAAATGACAATTTTTTTAACATAAACAATGAAAAAATTCCGGAGATTATATGTGATAATTATACTCATGATATAAATAATAATAAAAGTGAAAATACGAAAGAAAATATTTTTGGTGATACAAAAGAGAATGCTATTAATTATGTAGAACGAGAAAGTAAAGAAAATATACTAGAATTAAATGTGTTAAATAAAAATTGTTTACCTAATAATATAATTTTGAATAATTTAAATATATTAATCACAGACTTAAATGAATTGTACAATTACTTAGAAAATTCTAAAGATAAAACGATAAGACTGGACACAAATTATTTATTAAAAGAAGAAAACAATGAAAATAAAAACAGTATATTTACCACGAAAGAAGGAAATATAAATATTTTACATCAAGAAATTATATCAGATAAAGAAAAATATCATAAAAAGAACGAATATTTTAATATAGAAATATCATCTGTAGATTTAAGAAGTTTTTGTTCTGTATGTTCAGGAATTCAGTACGATAATTTTGAAAATAGCTTTAATCAAGCAGAAGAAAATAATTATAAAGAGTTTGAAGTATTTATGAAAGAAAGTGACTTTTTTTGTAATTGTAATAATATTAATAGCTATCACAGTGAATTATTAAATGAAAATTATAACTACAAGGTTTGCTTTAATGGGGACCAACCGAACGAAGAATATTATACGATAAAAAAAGATGATATAAAGAGAATAAATGGAATAAAAGATGAACACATAAATATGAATACTGAAGAAGACATGAGAGAAGAAGAAAAAAAAAATGGAAAAAATGAACTTAAAAATAAATGTATAGCAAAAAATAAAGATAAAATATGGGTACAAAGCAAGGATTTAGAAAAAAAACCCTTAACAAGTAGAGAGTTACGAAATATAAGAAGAAACAAAATAGCTAAAAATCAGGAGGATCAAAAAAATAAATCATTGAAATCTACACAGAATTTTGATATAAAGTCACCAAGAGTTAAAAAATTGGAAAAATTTACAAATGTTGATCAAGAAGAGCTTAGAGAGGTTTTTGGTCCAACAGGAGTTTCAGGTGTTTACTTTGAAAAAAGTAGAAGCAGTTGGACTGCTCAATATAAGGTCAGTGGTGGAAAAAGAAGAGCAAAAAGATTTTTAGTTACAAAAAATATGACATATGAAGAAATAGAAAATGTGAAACAACAGTGTATTGCATATAGAAAACAAATGGAAAAGGAATACGTAAAAGAATTTTTAAATGAAGAAAAAAAGAAAGCGAATAATATAAATTGCTCCATAAGAAAACCCAAAAGAAGAAGAAAAATAAAAAATTTTTATGAATGTTAAATTGAATATTTAAATGTAGAACATACAATAATCATGTAAATGATTGTTAATTTAATTAATAGAAAAATTAAAATTTTAAAATAATATAAAATTAATTATTATTACATTTTAATTTCTTATAAAATTAATGCATATTTTTTTTTTTTTATGTAATGATGTTATCACCTTTTTTATATGATATTTTTTTTTTTTTTTTTTTTATAACATGATAGCTTTTTATTTAATCTATTTAAGATGTCAATGGTTATCTATGTTTACTTTATAATTATTTTATTACTTTTATATGTAGTAAATTATTAAATGGAAATAATTTTTTGTTATAAATTATTAACATGCATATAATACTTATTTTTTTTACACATTAAATATGCAACATTACATAAAATATTAAAAGTGTAAAATAAATGTGTGCAAAAGCAATATATATAAATGATTTTTTTTTTTTTTTAATATTAAAAATATTATTTTATACATATTTTATTTTTTCATTTTATTTAAAAATACACTCCTATGTATAGATTGAAAAAATACATACATAATGTCTATAACAAATATAAACATGTTCATATTTATTCAAATATTAATTTAATATGTAGATTGCTAAATACTTTTATTTTTCTCTATTCATTATAATGATTACAAAATTTATAATGAAATTAAAATTAAATATCATTAATTTAAATTACAATTGCATCAATATGAAAAAAAAAAAATTATGTAAAGAAAAATATCATAAAATTAAATAAAATACAAAATGGTACACTCAAAAATGTGTTAATTTTTCTTTTTTAAATTTTTGATTATGTTTTATTCTTATAATGGCATAATGCATAAAGTACAAAATTATACATACTAATTTTGTACATTTAAGTTTAATAAAGCAATTTAGAGTTTACATGTTTTAAATGTTAAACTATATTATCTACGATAATTTCTTGCTTTATTTTTTTAAAGTTTAGCGGAAAAACATTTTTTTTTTGTGAATATTTATCTAACACTTTAATGCTAGAAATATTCTATAATAAATTTACCAATAACTGCTGCACAAAAATATTTAGCTTAAAAAAAAAAAAAAAAAAAAAAAAAAAAAAGATAAAATAAAATAAAAACTAAAAATTAAAAAAAAATTTGAATATTAAAATATATAAAGATTATCTAGAAAAACGAAAAGTTGTACGATCTCCTACAGGGCTTCAACCTTGTCTTAAAAGTATAATTCAATATAAAATAGTAAACACTATAAACTCTATTATAAATTAAATATATTTCTATATTTTGTGTTGTTTATTAATAAGAGAAATAAAGATGAACACACATGTATTAGGGACGAAAAATAAATATTAAATTATATTTTTTTTTATTATTAATTTAAATTAATTTTATTTTTATCTTATTTTATTTTATTTTATTTTATTCTTTTTTTTTTTTTATCCTTTTTTAAACTTTATAAGTTCTTAGCAACAGCAAAACCAACTCTTTCATTATCGTAATCAAAAACAGTGAAATATTTACGCATAAATGGATCACCTAATATAAATGTTTGTTTATCTATATCTCCTGGCATAATGTAAACCATACATAATGATTCATCAACTTCTTCTAATGTATCTAAGTAAAATTTTGGTTCTAATGTATATTTATTGTTTCCAGAATGAAATTCTAAGGTTGGTAATGATTTATTATCACATTCAGTTACATAAACTGGTAAAAATGGTACTTTAAAAATACCTGCATCCTTAAAGAACTTTTTAACAAATTCTGTTGGTGCAACAATTGTACTTGTACCACTATCAATAATAGCATTAGCTTTTTCAAAAGTATCATTTCCAAAAGTAATATCCAAATCTATTTGCCAGAATAAATCATGATTTAATTTTTCATATGTTATTTCTCCTTCATAAAACTTATCTTCTATTCCACCTATTGTTAAATAACCAGCATGTTTATCAAGAACTGGTAAATAAAAAGTAAATAATCCATGGTCTATTTTATTTTGATTTTTTAATTCTACAACTATGGGACTTATTTTTCCTAATGCTAAATCTTTCCATCCCAATCCTACTATACCGTCAAATGGTGAAGAGCTATAAATAGGTTCTAAATCATCTGTATCTGTTACTTCAATAAATTTATATGGGAGTGACAAATGACCTATTGTAACTAAATCTTTGCTAAAGAATCCCTTAATAGATCCAGAACCATAAGTTATCTCGGCTTTTTCTCCATCTTCTTCATATGTTTTTGACTTAGATGAATCGTATATATGTTTTGTAGTGCATCCTTTAGAGCTACATTTAGTACTAGGTACCCATAAATTTGCTGAACCTGTATCAAATATAAAAGTAAATTTTTGTTTATCATCTCCTACTTCTGCTTCCCCATAAAACATTACATTTGAGACTTCATCTAATTCTACTGAATCATTTTCATTTCCTAAATAATTTTCTGTTAAATATCCTGAGTTAAGAAATTTGAATGTTTCCTTTATATAGTTTTTCAATTTTTTGTTTATTAATGTTTTTAAAACTTTTTCTTGGGATCTTTCAATTTTAACTGCTATAGTTAAATATTCTGTGTTTTGAAGAACTTCATTCAATTTATTATTAGAAAAATAATAGTTTTCAACAAGGAAAAAAGCAAATGCACCGGTCAAAAGTATGAAGAGTACTAAATAAAGTATTCGTAACTTTTTCTGAAATTTAAAAAATTTTAAGTTATTAGCCTTCAACCTTTCAAAAGCCGAAGTGCTCTTAATCAAGCTATTGGAATAATCTTGCTCTTTTATGGTAATATCCATATTCAAATAGAATTTAAAACAAAACTTTTTATTCTAAATAAATAATTTTTTTCTATCGTAAAAAATTATGCTCAATAAAATATAAAAGTGTAAATATTTACCCTTAGTGCACAAATAATATATGTATATACTTTAATTACCTTTAATCTGAAAAATTCTGAAAAAAAAAAATTAAAAGTATAATAATTAAAAAAAACAATATTCCATTAAAAATTAAAATTTACATTTAAAAAATTATTCTTACAGATATTAAAATGGTATATTTCCAAAAAGTATTTACGTTACTCTATTAAAGCAGTAATGTTTATAAATTATTTTTTCAAACAAATTTTTAAAGAGTTAAAAAAAAAAAAAAAAAAAAAAAGGAAAAGGAATGTATGTATATCTCACTGTAGAGGGAAAATAAAAATTATATATAAATTTTATTAAAAAATCCTTTTAATAATTTAGAATAATTATAGTAATTTATTATAAATTATTTTAAGGAAATCTTCGTTTATATGCTAGATATCTTTTTTATTTTTAGTAGCATGGAAATTAATCTAATAAAAACTAACAGTAATTAATTTTATTTTAAAAATTATATTTACAAATTTTTTTTTTGTAAGTTAAAAATGAAAAGATAGATATGGCATGTACGTTTCTTAAAAGGCGTACTAGATGTATTAAATTTCATTAGTTATTCAAGAATATTACATATAAAAAGAATAAAAGGAAAGAAAAAAAACTATATTAAAAATGAGAAAAAAGATATAGTTAAATAAACTACAAACTGTATATTGTGCATGGGTTTGAAGTGCAGTTCATGCAAAAAAAAAAAAAAAAAAAAAAAAAAAAAAAAAAAAAATAGCATAAGTTAAAAAACAAAAGAGAGTAATGCAAATTTTTATAACAAAAAATGATTTTAAGGAGAGGAAAAAAGAGATAATATATTCCTATATTTTCTTTTTTTTTATTCGGTTTTACATAATATAAATAAAATTTTGAGTTATTTATGCACCATACATTTCTTATGTAAAAAAAAAAAATATAAAATTATGAAAATATAAAAAGTAAATTATATATTTTCTTATTTCATCAAAAAAATATCTCGTGATATAAATTTTTGATATTATTAAATTTTTGAACTTTTGATCTTTATTATAAATTTTGTTCTTTTTTTTCCAACCTATAAATTTAATTATATCGTAGAAATAATACTGTTTTATATAAAAAGATACACCTGAAAAAAAAATTTTTTTAAATTGTAACTTAAGTAATAAAAAATAAATAAAAAAATATAATAAAAAAATATAACTATAAAAAAATATTATAATATGTAAATGTAACAATAAAAAGATATATCATAAAAAAATAAATTAAAATATTAGTTTAACAATAAAGAGATATAACGTCAAAAAATTTAATAATAAAAAATGTAGCTTCTAAAAATTTTCTAATAAAAAATTTCAATAATTAGAAATTATGGCAAAAAAAAAAAAAAAAAAAAAAAATAGTAAAAAAACATAAAAATAAACAACACACATAAAAATATATGTAAAAAACTTAATAAAAAAATATAAAAGAAATAATATAGAAAAAATGCTGCTATGAAAAAAATTAAAATAAATTATAGCATAATATAATAATAATTAAATACAATGATAAACATGTAAAATAAAAATATTTTCCAAAATAAAATTCATATTATTCATATTTTAAAAAAAAAAAAAAAAAAAAAAATTAAAATAATTAAATATTCTAGCATTATTTGTTATTAAGCATATTTTGTGCTTTTCTTAACTTACCTTTATAATAATATAAATAGTTATTTTTATAGATGTATATATATATTGAGCATTTCTTAAATATTACCATAAGGTGTACCTAAAAATTTAAACTTGTAATTTTTTAAAAGCCTTACAATAATGTATTCCATATTCTGTAGAATAATAAGTTCCTAAAAGTAAAAAAACGTAAATAAAATATATATTGATTACTATTTTGTCATAAATATAAAATTTTATAATATTATGGTATAAAATAATTTTTCTTTCTTTAAAATAAGTAAGCCTTGATAAAATTAATAAACTATTAAATTCACTTAATTTTAAGGATGCGTATATTTTTATTTCATATATGAAGTCATATAAAAATTAAAATTTTTAGTGCACATATAAATGCATGTAAATTTTAAAGTTAAAATGTATTTATATTCTACTTTATTTTATATATATATATACGTTACAATCATACCTGTTTCTGCATCAAATATACAGGCTAAATCAGATGACATAATATGATATGATGATGAATTACTAGATGGACTTAAAACTTTTTGATCTTTAATATCAATAAATGACCATTTGCATTTATATGACGGATCTTTCTTTTTTTTTTCTTTCTCTTCCTTACTTATTTTGAATTTAATAGGAACATGTAAGTATGAAATGGGTGCATTATCTTTATTCAAACGAAGGTCAAATGAATATTCATATTTAATTAATTGGTCATGTGCTATTAAATAGATTTCTATATCTGTAATATTTGGCTTTCTTGCAGTAATAAGAAAATCCTTTTTATAATCCAATGAGCATGCTACTGGGGAGTAGCTATCCAACTCTATGGAAATATGTATCTTTGGTGGTACAATCAAAAGAGCAATTACATTTGGTTTTAAATTGCATAAAAGTCCTTTAGATATTTCAGCATATTTTGGTACGATCATTGTACCCCATGAAAAAAAATGTATAAAATAGTTATATTTACCGTTACTTACTGGAAGTTTTGGTAATTTCATCACACTAAATTCTTGATTTTGCTCATAATCACCATATAACAAAGCTAAGTTATTAATTGGGTGGCAGCAGCAAAATCCTTCGGAAAAGTTTATACACTCTACTTTAAAAGAATCTGATTTGTTCACCTTACTTATAACCAAGCATTTATCTGGTATCATTCTAACAAATATATTACCTTCATTTAGAATAAAAACTGTAGGCCTCCAAATTTTTGGTAAAACTGGAAGTCGTTGAGAAGAATTCCATGTAATTATGTTTTTTGTAATAGGCATTTTTATTAATATTTTTTCTTCTCCTTCAATACATAATATTACGTCGCTTTTTCTATACACCTTGATGTCATACTTTCCACCTAATGAAGCTTCTAATTCTACTGGTATAGAATTTTCTTCAACTGGATCTAATGTAAGAATTCTTTCATCATCAAATATTGTCTTTTTAAGATTTAAGGGTTTTTCTAATGCTGTCCATGAAGTTCCATCAAAGTAATGAGTAGAAGTAAATATTTTAGCTTTTTTTATAAGATTATAATTTTGTGGTTCTTCAAAATGTTCAGTACTATTTATTGCTTGGAATGGTTTAATAGAATTCTGAGCATTTTCACCTTCCATCTTTCTTTAAATTTTTTTCAATTATCTATAGTTTTAATTAAACTTATAATTTTTAAATTTTTTAAATTTGTTATATATTTAATATATATATTTTGATATATATACTTTTTGGTAAATGATGAGATTATTTTTAAACTAAATTAGCTAAAAACAGTAAAAAAAAAATAAAAATTTGTATATATAAAATTTTTCATATATTTCTTTTTTATGAAGAATTAAACTATAGGTGTATTAAATTTCTTTTAAAAAATTATGTTATTTTTTATGAACATGTTAATAATATTTAAAATTTTTATTTATTTTTATTTTTTAATTTTTACAACAGCTTTATTCAATATTGTAGCAAGACAAGTTATATTTATTAAATCTTTTAATTCTTTGTACATGCATTTTAAAAATGAAAAAATGTTTATTATATAATATTTTATTAATTGTTCAGAATGGCGAGAATATTTAATTTTAATTTTGCACGATACATAAGATTTTATGTAAGAAATATTTTTTACTTTCCATATATGTTTTAAGTTTCATATAATTTTTTATATAAACTTTATATTTACTTAAATCAGTTTTTTTTTTCATTTAGCATCATTTATTGAATAAATGTCTCATTTTGTTTTTATCATATTTATGCTCAAGATATTTGTTCTAGATAATTATTTTTTATTAAAACACCTGTTCAGTCTTTTCGTTTAAGTCTATGAAAATGAATGTTGCTTGAAATTTTTATTTGAATGCATTATTACATTTAAATTTTTATCTTTCATATAAGAAAAGTTTTCAAAAAAAAAATAAAATGAAAATTAGTATATTAAAAATGGACTTTTATATTATGCTGCATGTGTGTATTTTTTGGTAATAACTCTTATATATACATAATTTATTGACATGAATATTACCATTTGTTACTCAAAGAAATAAAAAAAAAAATAAATGAGAAATAGATATTCTTAAAATTATAAAATATATATTGAGAATTTCAATTATAATTTATTTTTTTTCACAAATATCATAGAAAAGAAAAAAAATAATTATTGATAAATCTTCATAAAAGCAAAAAAAAAAATTGTTGTAAATTGTAGGTCTTGTTACTTTTAAGTATATGTAACTTCAAAAATAGAAACATTGCTATCTTCAATAAAATAAAAACTATTAATTTTTTTCTCTACATATTTGTTATAAGTTTAATTATTAATAATAGATAAAATATATATTCCTTCAAAAATTACAATAAATATGTTTTCCCCTATATGTGTTATATACAAAAGAATTTATACATTTTATAAATGTTCTTAATTTTAGAAACTAAATTACCTTTATTCTTATATTTATTATCCTACCTTAAGCTTTATATAAAATTTCAACGTATTATTTTATTTAAAAAATTAGAAAAATAAACAATTGGAGTTTTTTAAAAAAAATAAGTTTCCATATAACAAATAATTACTTGTGCTTAAAGTGTGCAATTTTTTTTTCTTTTGGAATGAATATAGTAAAACACAATATATAAAGAAAAATAGAATTTACTTCCTATTTTTAATAAAAGAAAATAAGAAGAAAAAATAGAGTTTATAGTAGAACCATAGCAAAAAATTAAGTAAAATTTTCATATTACAATTCTAGAAAAAAATTCCTACATACATAAATATTAAAAAATAAGATAATGAATATAATTTTCCATTTAATAAAAATTTCTTTAATATTTCAAATTAAAAAATAAAATTTGAAAATATTTCTATTGTAACAATATTTATACTTAGAATATTAGAGTAATCTTGCATGAACTTACATTTTTTTCTTATCTTAATTATTGCACTGCTTTATTGTATATAACATTTTTTTTTTTTTTTTGAGTTTACCTATATTTTTTATTTCTAATAATTTTTCATTTAAGTTTAAATTATTCTTTAAATTTAATATCACAAAAAATAAAATATAAAATGTATATATATAATATCTTTTCTTTAAAAGAACTTTTTTTTTTTTTTCTATTATTTGACTAGTTTTATAATATGTTATAAACTAGTTAAGTTGTAGTTCATTCAAATGTTTAAGAAGCATCAATAAAATATGATGAGTAACAAGATTAAAAAAAAAAAAAAAAGAACTGAATAACTACATAAAGGTGAAAAAAAATAATTAAAGAATATACTAATAAATAAAGCTAATACAAATCTACACATTTTAAGAAATTATCTTATTTAGAGAATAAAAAAAAAAATTGATATATTTGTGATAAGAAAAAAATATATACATACATTACAGAATAGTTAGAAGTATTAGTTTAGATAGGATAATTCCCCATAAGGAAAAGAAAAAAAAAAAAAAATATCAAATTACTCTAAAGAGATGAAGATAAACAAATTTTCATCTAAATATAAGAAACTAAGAAATTGTAGGTGTACTAAAGAAAAAATTTCTTGTGAAAAAAAAAAATATTCTTTAATATATAAAGAAACGGAAAATTATATTGATCCAAAAATAAAAAATAAAAATTTTCAAGAAACTAAACAATTCATTAATGTAAAACTTAATGATTCTGAAAAAAATGACATAAATAATGATTATTTTAAAGAGAATAAGATTCTGAACAAACACTATGAGAATAATAAGATAGGTGGAAATGAAAAATATAATAAACTTTTTTTTGATATTCAAAATAATAGAAAAAAAAAAACTAACATTAAAGTTTTTCATGAAAATAATTATGTGCCTAGTTGTGGTAATGAAATAAATAACAATGTTTCACCTAGTAAAATTAAAACTTTTAAAAAATTAGAACCATTTGAAGCAGAACCAAATGAATTCCAGACGAGATATGATAATAAAATGTGTAAAAATACTTATAAACTAAAGAATCCATATGAAAAAAATGAAAAAAATTATGAAATTAGAGAAAATTACATAAATGATGAAAGTGGTAAAAATATTTCAATTGAAAATCAAATACATAATAATGAAACTGTAAGTAACTTCAAAAACAAAAGTATCAAAAAAAATTATTATATTGATAGAATTAAAAGTAATAATATAAATAATTCTAAAGACTACAATAAAGAATGTAATAAAAAAAAAAAAAATCAAAAGGATTATATCAAAAAATTCAAGTTAAATTTCCCTAAAAAATATGTTTCAACGGGGGGAATGAGTTCATTGAAATTAGAAGACAACATAATTTCTGGATTGTTAAAGAATAGATATGAAGGAAATGAAGAAAATTTTGAATTTTTAATAAATACCAAAATAAAAAAAGAGAATGAAAAGTTGAATAAATATTCAAAAGAATTGCCAAATGAAATAATATTTAGTGGAAATATTATAAATATTGAAAATGAAAATAAAATAGAGAAAAGAAGAAATGAAAGTGAAAATAAAATCGAGAGAAAGACAGTTTATTCCGTACCTATGAATAACTCATTAATGGAAAAAGTTAAAAGTAATATAAAAGAAAATATAGATTTTGAGAATTCTTATAAAGATGAAAAAAATAAACAAAATTCAAGTTCTTATTCTGACGAAAGTTCATTATATGAAATTTCTATATTAGGAGAACTGAGTTTAAACTTTGAATCAAGTAGTAACGAAAATATAAAATCATCTATAATTAACTTAAAAGATGTTTCAAAAGATAATAATATAATTGAAAATAAGAATTACCAAAATAAAAAGAGTGATAATATTTCTACGGAAAATAGAATTAATATAATAAAAAAAAATATACATGATGAATGTCAAGTTCCAAATAGTACAAACAAAAATATATTACCTAAAATTAAAAATGAAAAAGGAATTAATGTTATGATTAACTATAATAATAAGAATTCAAAAATGCCTCATGTTCAAAGTTGTAATACTAATGATAAGTTTTTTTTAGTAGACGAAAGTGAATGCATTATAAATAGCCAGAAGAAAAAAAATAACAAGACAAGTGAAAGTTATGATCCAAAAATTGCAAATAATTTTAATTGTAACAAAAATGATATTTTTATAAAAAATGTGAAATTCACTAAAAAAAACATCAATACAAATGTAGAAAAGACAAAAATTGATAATACTGAAAGCTTGGGAAGAAATAAAAAAGATTTAAAAAAATTAGAAGAAAAAATATTTATGAATAATATAAATAAAGAAAAAGTAAAAAGAATCATAGAGCGAAACAAACCAGTAGATAGCAATTCATTAAAACGGAATTACCAGTTAATAACACGCAAGAAAGATAAAATAAACGGTTTATTTAATGATATTCATACTAGTGATTTATGTGAAACGTGTATGTGTAATAATAAAAATAATAATATAATCTTAAAAAAAAATAATTATTGTAAGTTAAGTAAAAATAAGAATGAATCGTATGATGACATTAATTATAATAAAAAAAAATATGATATAATTTTGAAAGATCTATTAGAATTAACCAAAAGAAAAAAAAGAGAAACACACTGTTTTGAGAATCATGAGATTCCTAATGGAATAGATGATAATAAAAATATTGAGAATAAAATAAAATGTAAAGAAAATATAAAAAAAAATTGTAAGATGAACATAATAAATGACTATGAAGAAAATAAAAAAGGAAAGACTACTTTTCCTAATGTAATAATGGAAAAAAGGGAAAATGAACATGTTGAAGATACTGATATTTTAGGAGTTACACGTAAACATAATGAAGAAAAAATTTGCAATTTTAATTACGAAAGTTTTGATAATACAAAATTTACTAAAGTTAATAGAAATGAATACATAAATAATGAAGAGGATAAGAATAAAATGGAAATGATGAAAGAAATGAATAATTTAAAACATTCAAAATTTATAGCATTAGAAGAAGATATGAAAATACTTACTGAATTATTAAAAAAAAAAAATGAGCAAAATGAAAAATTGAAATTACATTTACAGTTGCAGCAAAAAGAAATGCTTTCACTTTGGGAAAAATTACAATTCTGTGAAAAAAAGAAAAAACAAGAAAAAAATTGGAAGAATACTGTATTTTATCAAAATTTAATTAAAGTAAAGCCATCTAAAGTTATAGAAATCATTTTAAAAAATAATTTGGAGAACGAAAATGAATTTTTAGATAACACTCATTCATCATTAAAGAAACATAAAAATAATAATATTATTTCAAAAAATAATTTAACATATAATAATTATGGAATTAATTTAACAAATGAAAACAAAACACCATTTTTACGTAACTATAAGAAAAATAATTCTTATGAGATAAAAACAACAAAAAAAGATATTCATATTTTTAATCAAGATAAAGGTGTTTCTACCAATGCACAATTATTAAATGAAAATGAATTGTCTAATTTTGAAAATTTGAAAGATATTGAAATATCAAATAAAAAGGATTTTTCTACGTTTAGTAACTTGAATAAACAAATTTCAAGTATATCATTAAATGAAATGAAGCACATTGAATCAGATTTGTACAAATTAAAATCAACTTATGTTCTTCCAAATAAGGATAAAACAGATGAAATAATAACAACAGATATAAAATCAAATAATATAGATTCAAATAATTTTAACAAAATAAAATGTTTTGATCTTAAAGAAAACACCGTTAGTGTAAAAAAATTAAGAAATAAAATTAATATAAATGACTTACATTCAAATTATTTAATTAAAAACCAAAAAACTCCTTATTTTAATAATTCACATCATTTAAAAACATGTTGCACAAGATTAAATGCTAGTAACTCTGATGACTTAAATTCATGCATTTGTATATTCAATAATAACCATACAAATAAAATTTATAGAAGTAAATGTAAAGAAAATAGTATAGGTAGAAACTGTTCATCTATGTATGCAGGCAAAATTAAATGCTTTAAAAATTGTAAATTTTTATCAAACAATTTGTTTTTAACAAAAAAAAATGAGAATTATGAAGATAAAAATATATTTAAAAAAATTTTATATTTTATAAAAAATTACAGTATCAATAATGAAAAAAATAATAATTCTTTGAGAAGGCATAAATCAACAAATTCAAATTATTCATCAAAAAAAAAATTCTATAATAATCTTTATTGTAGATCACAATCTACTTGTAGCTCAAATCTTAATTTTTCAAAAAAACTTCAAGATAAGAATTATTTTGATTATTATATAAGAGATTCTAACACAAATTTAACTGGAAAAACAGTCACTAATGATGTTACATTAAAAAATGTTATAGGTTCTACTTTTGAAGGAACAAAAATAAAAAAAGAAAATGACTTACATAATAAAAAAGTTATGAATGATGCAGAGAAAAAAAATTTTAAAAACAGAATGAACATATCTGCTGTGAATAATTCATATAACAAAATCTTCATAAAAAAAGGAATTATAAAAAGTAATTATTCATATTATTTTAAAAATAATGTTAATAAGTCTTTTACATCAGATCCTAAAACTTTAAAAAATCATGAAATTGAAAACTTGATTAATGCTAAAAAGAGAATGAATATTCCATGTAAAATGGGTTTCAAAAATAATGAAAATTTATTAAAAATAAATAATTTCAGTCAAGGTATAAATTCTAAAATAGACAAAAAAATAACTAAAAATGATGTTAAAACACCTAAGTTAAAAAATAATTTTTCTAAAATGTTTGCAAAATATGATTATATGAATGACAAAAATCAAACAACTATAACTGATTTAAGTAAAATTAATATAAATCAAGAAGGAAAAAAAAAGGATAATAGCTGTAAAAAAAATGTTATAGAAAAAGGAACAAATATAAATAATATTTTAGAAAATCATCACAAAATAGATGAAACAGTTTGTCTCAAAAATTATTCTAAAAAAAGAAATAAAAGAAGTTATCAGGAAGGTGAACTTTATGATAATATAGAAATTCTTTTTAAAAAAAGTTATAAAGATACTGAAAACAGTAATGAAATTTATGATAACAATTCAAAAATAAGAAACAAAAATTATAAAATTGTAAATACAGAAGAAGAAATTAATGACAAAAGTATAGCACAAAAAGAATCTCATAATAATTTAAAAAAAATAGACAATGTAATGATTAAAGATGAAGGTATTAAAATTAAAAAAGAGAATTATAATAAATTAAACAGAAATGAAAAATATGTTTTCAAAAATGTTGATAAAATTTTAGATTCTACATCTTTTGAATTCTCTAATAGTATTCAAGAAGATACATCTAATTATTCTCTGAGTTCAAATGAAGAAGTATATTTGTGGAAAAAAAAAAAAAATAACAAAAAGCGGAAGTTTCTTAATTTTAAAAGATTTAAAAATTATAAGCTAAGGAAACAAATTAAAGGATGTATTAATGTTCATTTAATAAATCAAAATAAAGAAACAAATAGTTCTCAAGAAAATGTAATTAAAAAAATAATTTTAAATTACAAAAACATGAAATTAAAGAAAAATATACATAATGATGAAAAAAATGCAAAAGAAGGTGATATATGTAAAAATATTATAGGATGTAATTTACAAAATCATGAAAAAAAGAGAGAAAATATGTCCATAAATGATGAAAAAGATAATTTTAAAGCAATTAATGAATGTGAAAGTACAGAAATTGTAAGTGATGAATATGAAAATATGCAAATAAAAAATAATGAAAATATAAACGCTTATTTAAAATTGATAAGTGATAAAAATGAAAAAAAAAAAAAAAAACAAAAAAGCTTAAGAAAAAAAGAAATAAAAGGTAAAATAAATAATATATTATATTCATCCACTAATTGTATTTTACCTGATCCAAAAATAAGTTTTCTTCAAAATGATGAATCTTTTATAATTGTTGAATATCCAAACATAAAATATTATATAAAATGTCATTAAAAAATAAGTAAAACATTTCTTATTTTTCATTTCCTGTTAACATATTTGGAATACCTATAAATGTAAATATATATATATATATATAATGTAATTATAATTTATTAGTTAAAAAACTGTATAAATATATACCATCTTTTATTGGAAAGGAAATGCTACATTTGGGGCATACTAAGGTGCCTTCCATTATATGAACCTACAATGAAAAATTATTTTTTAGTATTTTTATCTCATTTTATGAAATATATTTTACTTTATATGTTTTATTTAAATTACTAGATGGATAATTACATTTTTTTAATTTTATAAATACCTTAAAAAGAGCATGATGAATTGAGTTTAAAAACTCTTCATTTTCTAAGTGTTCACTAGAATAACTAGATAACAGATTTATTCCTAACTAAAAAAAAAAAAAAAAAAAAAAAAAAAAAATATATATATATAGTTTAAAAATACATATATTAGCATTTTACATAAACATAAAAAATAAAACAAGAATAAAAAATTTACTTGTTTAGCCGTATTATATAAAACATCATAATCAACTTTACTCAATACATTTTTTACAAATTCTATATTCATTTCTTGATCTAAAATTTTTATATTTTCTTCAGAATTATTGTCTAATTTTATTATCAATGGATAACCTTCTGTACACTGAGTTTCATTACTAAAAAAAAATATTACATATATTATTTTTTTTTTTATCAATTTTTATAACACGTATATATGAATAAAGAACACAAAAAAAGGGACAACAAAAAAAAAAATAAAAATTAATGAATAAATAAATAATTCATAATTAATATATATATGAAAAAAGAAAAAATCATTTGCTATAAATACATTTTTTTATCAACTTTTTTTTATTTTATATTTCTTATGTATTTTCCATTTTTTAAAAATATTAAATATTTTTTTAAGTGTTTGATAATTAATAATAAGTATAATATTTTATTAATTATTTTAAATATAGTATATAATTATTATCTTTTTCTTATATCTTTTTTTAACTAATATCTGTATATGTATATTTTTTTTTTCCATTTATTTCTATATTATATTAACTTTACTAACCACTTCAAAAAATTATGCGTAAGGAGTCTCATAGTTTTATAATATTAAAAATAATATTAAAAAAGTTTACGTTAAAGTGTCTATTACAAAAATCAAAATTTACTAATTTTTTTGTAATTGTAATAAAAATAAGAAATAACATAAACATAAACTTTCTATAAAGTTTTATTTATAAAAAAAAAAAAAAAAAAAAAATCACAAAAACTATTAGATAATTATGAACAAATTACAATTTGTGTTTTTATCTTTATTTTATCTTATTTATATCATAAATATATATAAATAAGAAATTATTTCAAATTTTTTTTTTAATATAAAAAAAATTTATTTCTTCATTAATATTATGTTATGTAAAAAGCTCATAACTTTTAAAATAATTTTTTTCTTTTTTTTTTTTATTTTTAATATTTATTAAGTATATATATGTATATAAACTTTTTTTAACTTTTTTTTTAAATTTTTTTACAATAAAAATGCTAATTTTTTTAAATTTTTACAAATGTAATTCAAAATATAATCATATTATATATAACAAAATTATTTAAATGTCTGTGTAAAATGAAAGATATACAAAAGGGTTATGTATTCAAATTAAATTTTTATAATTAAAATTTATTCATTTGCATTTGCATTCGTTTTTTTTTTTTTTTTTTTTTTTTTGTGTAATTGATATTTTTAATTTTTTGTTAATTTTGAAAATGAAAAGATATATTAATAATAACAAATTATATAACTTAAAAAAAGTTAAGGTAGAATGTGAATATGAAAACGAGTTAAAAAAAGAATGTACTTCAAGCATTTTTGATTTTAATAAAGTTTCAAAAAAGGAAGAGAATATAGATGAAAATAATTTGGAGAAGTTTAATATTTTTAATTTAGAAGAGAATGGTAAAAGAAGAAAAATTGATATTATGCATATATTTAATGAATTAAAAAATAGTACACAAATGAATGAAGATCTACTAAATCAAAATATAGACAAAAATCTAGTCCGAAACAAAAATGAGCTGGTTACTAAATGTATAAAAAATAATGTAAATAACAACATTAAAGATAAAAATAGTAATTCTAATGAAAATCTAAATAAAGATACATCAGTTGAGAAAATAGAAAATTGTAAAACAAAAAAAAGCAATAATCTGAATAAATACTATGAAAAAATAAATAATTTATTGAAAGAAATACACTTGAGTAAAATTGCTAGAAATAATAACAAAAATATAAAATATATGGCATAATTATGAAAAAAAATATATGAAATTTAGTATATGAAAATTTCAGACGAAAATTTTTTTTTTTTTTTACATATGCCAAAAAATATATATATATATATATAATTGCATCATATAAGAATATTATAATAAAAATTGCTATTACAAAAACTCATAAAATTTTTTTTTTTTTATTATTCTATTTTATTTTCAAACTTAAGAAAAAAAAAAAAAAAGAGGATGTTTTCATTTTTTTTGTTATTCTTAATATTTATCACCTTTTTTTTTGTGATTTTTTCTTTTTTTTATCCCTATTCACATTAAGAATTTGATATATAATATTTCTGTCTATTCTTCTGCATACGAATTTTCACTTATAAAAAGCAGAATTAACTTAATTTTTTTTTTTTTTTTTTAATTAATTCATTATTTAGAATATTTTAAAATCTACATATTTTTTTTTTTTTTTTTTTTTCTAACGTACATTATTCTACTACCAAATAATTAATAGATTAATATTATTAAGTTTAAAAAAAATTTTTTTTTCTATAATTGTACATATAAAAAAAAATTTGTTAAATTAAAAAATTTATAAAAAAAAATAAAGATAAATATAATGTTAAGATATATTAGTATTTTTTCGTATTTAAAAAAAAAAAAAAAAAAAAGAGATAAATGAAGATTATAAAAATTTTAAAAAAAATCAAAAAATATAAAATACAAAGCAAATGAATTATTGATTATTATATTTCAGAGAAAATCTATCCTAATGTCATAATATCCATTTCTTCTAAATCTCTAGTGTTCATTTTTTTTTTAATATCATTTTCCTCTTTATTGTATTTTTGAATTAGTTCTTTTAATTTGGAATTTTCTGCTATAGTATTTTCGTTATTATTTTTATCTTTCTGTATAACCTGTACTGTTCTATTTATTCTTCTTGGAGATAATGATCTAGACTTTTTTCTAGTTGATATATTTTCTACTTTTAGTGATAGAGATGATTTATATGAAGTTGGTCTTCTTGCATAATCTTTTCCAGTTGCAAGTGCTTTTTGACTTTCTATTTTTCTAAATTTACTAATTAATTCATCTTCTGTATTTTCATATTTTTCTTTCTTGTGTTTTCTTTTTATAGAACTAGATCTAGATATGGACCTATTTCTTCTTTTGTACGATTTTTCATGGGATCTTTTATTGTGCTTATTTATTGATATATCACGATGGGAAACATGGGATCTGTTATGAGAAGAATTTTTTTCTTCTTCACTTGTTCTTTTTCTTCTTCTTTCTCTACTTCTACTTTTCTCTCCTCTATTATTTTTTCTTCTACTTCTACTTCTACTTCTTCTCCTTCTTCTTCTGCTTCCACTTCTACTAACTCTTTTTTTACTTCTGTTATTTCTACTTCTACTTCTGTCTACACTATTATATTTGTTTATATCCTTCTCTTTTTTTGAATCTTTAATATCTAATTTTACATATCCTATATTAACCAACTTTTCATTTCCATCAATTTTTCTTATTCGGACGAAAACTTTATCTTTTCCATGATTTAATATACCTCCTATTTCTCCTTTTTCCCATTCACCACTAAAAATAATTTAAAAAAAAAAAAAAAAAAAAAAAAAAAAAACAAATAATAAAATAAAAAAAAAAATTACTTATACTTAAATTTTGAATTTATTACTTTACATAAGCTACAACAGGTTCACCTTTTACAAATTTAGATATTTTTTCTTTATTTTTTTTTAAACGTCTTCTATGATCATTTATAATCATTAGACGTGCACCATATATATTTTTTATTTTTATAGGTAATCTTGGTAATACTGCAAAAAATAAAAATATTATAAAATGAATAATCTATAAATAGATCATTTAAATGTGTAATTGAAAAAAAAAAAAAAAAAAAAAATAATGTATCTTATTAAATTACAATATTCATAAAATATATAAATTTAGAAGATAAAATTAACCTGTATTAAAATATTTATCGTCAGATAGCAAACTTTGCACATATTCTCCTATTGTTACTTTTTTTCTTTTATCTGCAGAAGCAATAAATTCTTCTTCATCTAATAAGTAAGATTCATACCATTGCCATAACTAATGAAAAATTAAAGAATAAATGAATAATATATAATATGAATAAAAAATGAAATAAGAATAAAAAAAAAAATAAAAGAAAAATAACATTAACTATAATGAAAATTTTTTTTTTTTTTTTTTTTTTTTTTTTTTATATTTACATTAGCTGGTGAATGAACATATCTCAAGTATAAAAAACCACATGCTCTAATATAACAGGAATCTTTATGATCTATTAAACCTTTGAGCTTTTAAAAATGAGAGAAAAATAAAACAATATAAAATGAATATAAGATATATATTATAAATAATATATTATATT